TACTGCCTCTAAGGGGGTTGCGAGAGGGACAGGCGCACAGGCAATACCACTCTGCACAACCACAGCTACTCCACCAGAAGAGGTGTTACAAGAAACACGGTCTTTTCTAAAAACCTGATGTCGCCGTAGTACCTGAGTATGTGTTTCATTAAGATGAGTCTCCTGTAAACAGATGGCAACAGGCTGGAGCTCATCGAGAAAAAAGTTGACATCATCAATATTACGAAAAAGACCGCGGCAGTTCCACTGCATTATACCTATATTTTTAACCATTTAAAACAAAACAAGTATGACATACAAATTATATCAAAAAGCTATATTCCTTACGGTTTAAAATCTATTTTTACACGCGGCGCACTTTGTTTTTTAGGGGGGTTATTCTGCCTCCGGTTAGAGTCACCGGAGGCAGAGGGGGTGGACTCTGATCTTGAGAGGAGAGCCTCCTCATCAGATCTCGACCCACCCTCGTCCATGGGCTCGTCTGCAGTTGCTGGCAGCTGGCCCTTAGAGGTCGACTGCTTTGGCACCTCCCCAGGCTTCCTCTGAGGAGCAGAGGTGTGGGGAGGTAGGCCCCGACCCCGAGAGGTCGAAGCAGCCGGTTGAGCAGGAGACGACATCTCCTGTTCTGGGGCGGATGCTGGCAAAGCAGCATTCACCTTGCAGTTCGGAGGCGGTGCCACTGGCGCCGCTCTCGGGGGTTTAGAGGGGGACCGTGACGGGAGATGCAGGTCGTCCGGAGACGTCTGAGTTCCCATCGAAACTACTGGCCGCGCTGGTCCCCTGCGCACGGCCTCGGCATAAGAGCCCTTCGATACAAAAGCAAAACGCTTCTTTGCCTCAGTGTAGGTAATGTTTTCGGTAACTTTTAATGTAAGAACTTCTTTCTCGTCTTTCCACACAGGGCAAGATCGAGAGTATGCCGGGTGGTTGCCACTACAGTTCGCACAATGAGGCTCATTATCGCACACATCTGCAACGTGTTCCTTGCTGGAGCACTTTGCACAGGTGTCCCTTCCCCGACAGTTCCGTGACCCATGGCCGAACCTCTGGCACTTAAAGCACCGTTGAGGGTTCGGCACATAAGGTCGGACCCGGCATTGAAGATAACCTGCCTTTACAGTCTGCGGCAGAGTGGTTGAATCGAAAGTCAAAATTATATGTTTTGTCTTCCGTTCCACACCATCACGGCGGATAGTGATTCGTCGTGCATCTATAACTCCTTGACTAGAGAGGCCCTCAATTATCTCTGGCTCAGGTGAGCCAAGCAAGTCATCTTCAGAAATGACCCCTTGAACACTGTTCAGTTTGCGGTGAGGACTGACGCTTACTTTGTAGTCAGAGACAAGGTTCAGTTTAAGGAGGGCATCACTTTGCTGCTTTGTGTTGACCTCGACAAGGAGATCATCAGATCCCATCTTCTTTGCATTGTAATTGGCGCCAATAACACCCTCAAGAACTTTGGAGACTAGAAAGGGAGAAAGTTTGCCAAGTGGCTTGTCACCTTCCGAGTGCATAACAAGGAACTTCGGGAATTTTTCCAGTACAAAAGATTGTTTCGTGTTCAGTGCTTCGGTGCGGCCCCTTTTGGGGGGCCGATCAAAAGGTTTAAGTTTGGAACCCATATGAAGGGGGAGGGTTTTCGGAAACTGTGGTGCACCGCCCACCACCGAGCCCAACAAGGGAATAGGTAACGCTCCATAACAAGAATGGCTTGGCTGAAGACGTTACGCTATTAGTGCTGCCCAGTCTCTATAACCAAGAGTGGTTTTGGACAAGGTGTCTGTCGCCACCCAAGGTTAGCCCTTGCCGCCAAAGGAGTTGAAAAGGAAAGAAGAGAAATGAGAAGAGTGAAAAGGAGGAGAAGACAAGGGTGAAAGTAGAGAGGGGATAGTAGAAGTGGCGACTAGACTGAATCATCCTGGCCGGGCCTTACCAGGACTCCCGTCTACGAGAAGCAGGGGCCGAAGTGGTGTATTGCCTCACCCGGGGGGCCCCGAAGGGTCCAAACCTACCCCGGGCTCGGCTCAACCACCAGGATGCCCTTTTCCCCGGACACGGGAAAGCCACGCACAGCCATACGTGGGCGGGCGAACCCGCATGGCTCGGGGTCCGTGGAGACGCCACCCCCCAAACACCTGCTTTCACAGGTGCCCCCTGCGGGGGAAGCTGACGCTCAAAAATGCGGTACTCGGTGCTTTTACTGCCGACTCCACCTGTCGATGTGGGGAGCACTGCTGACATCTGTCGGCTGTTGCACCAATCAGACACCTTTGGTTAGCACATGGCCGCCGTACGTGGGGATTTCAAGCCTTTCATTTTTAACTTTTTACTTGGGCAAGTTTGCTCAGTGCAAAATTTATACATAGCTTGCAAGTGTCGCCATTGCTGGGTACTGGCAGTTATTTCTGCTTACTAGTTTCTTTAAATTACAAATTCTGCGGTGTCAAACTAACACGGCAAAAAAAACACTCGCGGCACATAAAATGCAGGAATAGCCGAGAATGACGTCACATGCAAGCTATGTAGCACGTTCGTCGGCCACTTCTGGGTAAAATTTTAGCTTGATACATTTAGAAACCGATTTATGCCGTCCCTTCAGACAACCATAGATCCCTTTGACTCACCATGTAGGTTGTGGAAAGGTAACCAATGTTTGAACGCTGCATCTAAGCATACATTAGACGTACCTGGGACGTGAAGTCTAAAGATACGTCGGACGTACCCAGAACGCGGAGTCTACGTCGGACGTCCTATAGCGTGGGCAGTCGGACCACGGCCAGACGCTCCCGCTGGTGTATTTGCAGCAATCCAAAAGCATTCCACGCTCGTGACTTTGCGAACTCGCATAAGTGGCCGGCAGCTGCTTGGCCTGGCCGCCGTGTGAGACACGGGAGACTCTACACTACACTATGCTGCACACGGACTGTGGTGCATACAGATCCGTGGAGTGTCAAGAGATTGAAACATTGTATCTACCATATTACTGATTTCAAATTCCCTGACTTTTCCAGGTTTTTCCCTGACTATTTTAATCAAATTCCTCGAGTTAGGTCAAAGGATGACATTTCGGCAGTGTTATTCAGTATGGCCGTGCCGATGAGCAACCGCCGTGCCACTTTCAATTGTCATTTCCCTTATTTAGCCCACTTTTTGAAGGATTTCCCGACTTTTCCAGATGATCCAAAATTCCCTGAGAATTCAAGGTTTTCTAGGTTCGTAGACACCCTGTGAAAGTTCGGCACCTGTTTGCGGCATTTAGTGAGCAGGAAGCTGCTATACACCCATTTTTGGCGACTACCGGTTTTCTCTCATCCGGGCACCTCGTTGCATAAACGATTTCCGGTTTCGAAATGAATGTGTTCTTGCTTACGAGATTTAACTCTTGTATCAGAGTGCTCTCGGTGTTGCTGTAGGTAAATTCCGCCGAAACGCCCGGTACTGTGCTTACGGATGCACTATGCGATTGTGAGAAGTTGTAAATTAAGTCTCGAAAATGATTTTGTTCTGTTTCCAGCGTGATGCCCATGGTTCATGGACGGCGAAGCGAGCTTCTTGACGGAACGCAACCGTAACAGTGACACGTCGGTAAATGTAATGTGTAAAATGTGTGTCAATGAGCATTTCATTGACGAAATGGGATGCGGAGTCTGGCAGGCCAAGAGGTTTTTATTAGCATATCAAAGGCATTTACTTCTTCATCGTATGAAATTATCAACTAATAATGGCCTTGTAGTCTTTTTTCTTTTTTTTTTTTAATTGGATCTCTTAACGCAGGGACGTGCGCTTTACAATCCTAGGCAATTGTAAATTACGACAAAGATATACTGTTTGAATGTAACTAACCCTGAAATGCCCACGCAGTACATAGTCCCTGGAAAGGGCAGGACAGACCGGCCAGTGTTCCGCAAAAATCGAAACATCCTGCGTCTTGTTATCTTCTGTCCTGCAGTTAGGCGACCTGGGAGCACTCGCACGCTCAGTCAGTTTCTTGGCTGGCAGATCTAGATGCACACAGCAATGTGTCTGACCTTCGAGTACGCTCAACGTTACGTCGAGACGCTACCGGGACATCCATGCTTCATATGTCGCGTAACAGACTAATCACCGAATTCGTTGCCGTGCAGCTGTGCTTCGTGCAAAGCACGGATAAAGGCCCACTGACGTAGCAGCCTTTCACTACGTCGTGGGAACTTACATCACAGCGAGTCACCAGAATGTCCCTGCTGCTTAGTATGAATTTAAGCGTGGCAATTAATTCGAGGAGCACCGTCGCGTGCGACAATGCACTTGTTTCGGGAACTGAACGCAGTCAAGCGCAACTGTATGAATGGGTATTTACTCGCGGTCGTGTCGGGCCAGGTCACTTAGGGTACAAATGTGCTTCCTTCATTCGACATTCTTGAATTCGTTGGGTCGAACGTTTCAAAAGGGTCGAGCTCCATCATTCTGAGGCAAACTTGAATAATATGCGCTCGTCATTGTGCGAGCCCCATAGTACCCATAGCAAAAACACGCAACACCCGGGTACCAGAAATGGAAATTCCAACAGGAAGCCGCCATCTTTTTTTGTTGTTGTTTACCTTGTAAATGGGTGCATAAGAGAAGCTGGTGCAGTTTTGTGAGCACGACTGTCAACCCATCACAGTCGGCTCTCGGCAGGCGAGAGCCGCCGTCCTCCCGGAGTAGCCGCCGTCCGTCCTTTCCCCGTCAACACGGACCACGCAGTACGGTCCAAACTTCGAGCGCCGAGGAAAAATTCGCACGAAGGTTCGTACTCCGACCAGTTAGCTCAGCGCCGAACAGTTCGGAGATTTTAACACTTCTCTCGGTGGTGCCTCAAATGCAAATCTTGACAGTCGCGCCAAGAAAATTGACCGGGCACGTCCGCCGTACCGTTAGAACTCCGCGTTCTGGTTACGTCCGACATATCTTTAGACACATCCATGTTCGAATCGTTCCCAAGTGTGAGCGGTTGCGAGAGAGAAGGGGGTTCGACTCACATGAAGAGAGACAGGGTGCTCATGACTCCGCAGACGTGGAAGGCGTGGTTGAAGTCCTGACTGGACGGGTAGTGGGCCGCCACGTCGATGATGATCCACCAGCCGACGAAAAACTGCACGCACCGAGGTCCGAACAGCTAGCTGCTCGTTGATCCGAGCTGCACCACTTACCAGGGAGCCCGCGACGATGGACGCTATGGCGTTCCTCTTCTCGCTCAGGTCCATCCATTCCGGACGATTGAACTGGATGTTGTCGAAGCAGCCTGCCATGATCGGACCGGAGCGGGGGACACCAAGACGCCTTTGACGACCGAACCTCTTGCAAGGCCCAAGCGCTCGACACCGCTGGCAAACAGCGAGGAGAACCGCGGAGGTCGCAAATTTAGGTTGCGTCAGTTATATTCTGCCCCAGTTTTGCTCGCATTAGAAACGTGTAAAAGCTGATTGCTATTTAGCGAATAACCCCTGTTTACAGTCAGTTTCCCAAGGAACTTTACGACTTCAATACCACCACTCGGATCTACGTTCAGTCAGTGGCCGGCTGTGTTCCAAAATTTACTCGATCCGACTCATATCCGACTGGCGGATAGTTGTGGATAGGGGTGTCGCGAACTTTTGTCGAACAGGATTTTTAGGTCGAACTTTCGGGGTTCGACTGGGTCGAACCGGTTCGACGAACATTCGAACTTTTCACCAGATTCGACCGGTTTGACTTTGCGGTAGACCTGTGCGCCGGTCAGAAATCGCCGGCGGCGGCGCGCCGGTGTTTGTACCTCCGGCGGCGGCGTGTTGACGGCGCGGGGATCATCGGATCGGCGGCGGCGTGGCGCGGAAGAGGGAGGGGAGGGGGAAGGGGGGGGGGGGGGGGGGGAGGGGTTTGTAAATTAGAGAGTGAGGGGGAGAGAGAAAGGAGTCGTTTGAATTTGGAAAGCAAGATGCAAATACCATAAAAAGGAACACACTCTTTTATTTTATTTTATTTTTTTTTTCTGGAGAGGTATACGCGTCGCAAGTGGGCTCATTTTCGTCTTCTGCGCATGAGAAAGGAAGTAGCGGTGACGTCAGAACGCCGAGCCCTGATTGGCTGATCGTGACCCCCTATCTCAGCGTCGTCTGCTTTTTTGCAACGTCGTCTGCTCGCAACATCGCCTGCGTCTGTCTTACCTAGGGTGCCTACATGTTTCCGCGGCGGAAACATGTAGGCACCCTAGTCTTACCTTTCCTGCGACTTTCGGTCTTTACGAGCGAGCTGGACTTCGCCTTTCAGAGAGGGCAGACTTAATAGGGAGTTTTAGAATAACGTACGCAATTTTAGCGCACGCTAGCGCTAAATTTAGCGCTTGTATTAGCGCACGCGGCGCGAGAGAGTTTTAGAATAGCGTTTCTCCGCCGCGACGCAGAAGCCCAAGCATCTCGCGCTTGCGACGCCACCAAGATACAGTAAAAAATTTTATTTCACACACGAAGTGATGTAACTTCAGAAGAAAACGAGTTTTTTGGTCCAGAGTAGCATTTTAATTTGTTTAAACATGAGAACGCGACGCGAGCGGTTGACCGGTCGTGTCCGCTTGCGTCGCCTCGGCAAGAGAGGTCTCGTGTACTGACCTTCGCACATCGTTCCTTCGCCGTGAAATGTTCGCGCGTCGCAAGCATCAAGTTGCCGGTGATCGCTGCCAAACCGAGTACATTGTCGTCCCGTATTGAAAATTGCAGTCGCGAGAATGCCGCCGACGTCGCACTCATGACGCCGCCAAAGCAGCCGCCGACATCATCCTGGAAGCCGCCATTTTTTTTTTAACTCTGCTCGTCTTGGCTTAAGCCAACTTCTCATCACGAATCCTCCTTGGAGAAGCGCAAAGACTCTTTGCGTACGCACGCTATTTCCGAGAAATAGCGCACGCTAAAATTACGCACGCAAAGCGCGAAACCTGGTTTGCGTTCGGAGCATGCGCAGTGGCGACGACGCTATTCTTTGCGCACGCAAAGCTTTAGCGTGCGCTATTCTAAAACTCCCTAATAGGGAGTTTTCGTAGATCGTTTTCGCCGTCCCGCAAGGCCCTCCGCAACCCGCTACGATAGCGGGAACTCCACAGTCAAGGCTATCGGCGCGCAGGCGCAGTAGCAATTTCTTCGTTGCGGAACGCTTAGCGGAAGGGGCAGCGCGGTCTACGAAAACTCCCTAATAACTCGAGCGGTACGTTGTTTTTGTCTAACAACAAGCAGACGCGCATCAAGGAGGGTGTCAAAGCAGTCACTGGCGAGGTGTCCCGAGGCGCCGCGGTTTGTTTGCCAAGAACCGAGAGTGAGCGTGTTAGTGTCCGCAAGTTCCCTCCCAAATACTTTTTCCCTCCTTTCGTGTCCGGCGAGACCCCTCATTCTTCAACGGCGTCGGCGGGTTGGCGCAGTTAACGTCGTCTGCTTTACGTCTGCTAGTCAAAGCGATGGCTGCTTTACCTTTCCTGCGTCTGTCGGAGATACACCGCTTTTTCATCGGCGAGAGTCACCGTTTCCTCGGGAAACAAGGAGATAACAAGAGGAAGAAATTGACCTCTTAATCTCAAACTGAGGTCAGCGATCAAAGTATAACACGGGAAGGGTTCACAAGGGTCGCGCGGGCATATTCCATTCAGCACACCAGCCGGTCGTGGGCAGACGGTCGCCGAGTCGCGGAGCGCCTGCTAGGCCTAACTGCCGTGCTCGCTTGGTCGCGTTCGGTGGAATCGTGGCCTTTGGAGCTTTTCCCGGGTGTTTGTGGATCCAGCGTTCTTGTTCGTCGTGGTCTGTTTCAAGTACTTTTTACTTTTTTTTCTTGCTGCATGAAGTCGGGACGCGTGAGAAGCGCACGAAGAAAAATAAACGTCCGTGGGTCGTCGCGACCGCGACGCTGTCGGCCATGCTGATTTGATCGTAAGAAGTGCGTAAGACAGCTTCGGAGTTGTCGTAGGATTTCGTCGTAACCTGCGCAAAACTTGCGAAAATTTCGTTTCGTGAATACGAATTTGTTCTTAAGTTATGTCTTACGCACATTTTTAGCGTAAGATCGTCGCCTGCACTTCCGAAAGTCGCAGGAAAGGTAAGACAGACGCAGACGACGTTGTGAGCAGACGACGTTGCAAAGGAGCAGACGACGCTCAGATAGGGGGTCGCGATCAGCCAATCAGCGCTCGGCGTTCTGACGTCACCGCTACCCCCTGCGCAAGAAGCAGACGAACTCGCCCTCCGCATACATTGCCTTCGCTGTGAAGGGTGCGTCCGTTAGAAGAATCAGGTACTTCGGCGTCTTGTTTATTCTCGTTTGTAAGAGAATATGTCGCCGGCTGGCAGCCACGGCGCAAGATCCTCCGCAGGACGAGGACCGACGGCAACAGGTATTTTATCACCGCGTTCCCCCTCACCACGTGCTTGTCGCACGCCCCGTGCCTAACAAGTCGACCGAGCACGTCCTTCGATTTATAGAACTCGTACTCATTCGGTACGCCGCAAGCCGTCATCACCGACAACGACAGGGTCCTAACCTCTCGTTCGGCTTCGCGGTACTTCGCCGACAGGCACATTCAGAGCATCCCTAACAGTACCTTAGGCTCCCGAAGCTAACGGCCGGCTTTGTCGAACGCGCCAACAGAAAAATCCTTCCATGTCTGCGCGAAAGAACGTCAACGGCGACATCGACCATTGGAGCGATTATCTCCAGGCAACCAGCTTTCGAGTGAACCAGCAGCCGTACGCCAGACTCCAGAGATCACCGTTCGAACTCCTGTTCAACTTTGTCCCACGTCAACCAATGGAATTTTTCCCGCTTCCCGACGAGGTCGGCGACGTCCGCGCGAACTGCGACGCTGCAAACGCGAACCTCGCTTACCTTCACGTCATGAAGCGTTCCTGCGATGCAAAACATCGACCACCTCCATACAGCGTCAGGGACAGGGTATGGTACACCGAACGGCCTTCCTACCTCGAAACTTGGCCTGCTTTTCCACGGACACTTAAGTCATCACCAACGTGAACAATCAAACCTACAACATTTCCAGGCTTACCCCGCAAGGCACACCGGATTGCCGCCAAGCTGCCGCACGATAGCTCTTTTTTTTTTTTTTTTCACGAACAACCTGCAGCGATGACGTCGATTTCAACCAACTCGCCTTGCACCGCAGCAGATCCTCCGATTACAAGCGCATCACGCCGACGCCGCCTTCCACGATGGCTAGACGCATAACAGAGGATCATGACAACATTAACAAAATGTGCGAGGGCGCAAGGATTTGGAGCTCGGGAGTGTACGCTGGCGGCAAAGACCCGTAAGGAGAGCCTCCCCGACTCGACCGGATGGGAGCTCGACTTCGACCCCCGATGCTGGATCCCGGCGTGGAAACGAGAAAGAAGGACCCCTAGAAACACGATGTGACACGAACAAGCCAGGCGTGTGGATCAAAATAAAATACGTTTGAAAAAGCCTGAAAACGGACGCGAATATAGCCCTCTTGTACCAAATTATTTCAAAAAGTTTTCATTAAATCGTTTTGCGGTCTACAAAACCGTTCAGTCCGTTATAACACTTTAAAAACACAGGCGAGCTAGTGAAGAACTTCCATACTAACGGGAGACACGAAACGATAAAAATAACGCACTAGACAACAAGTCTCAAACACAGCTTTTATACCCGTTTTCACGTCAAGAACTTAAGTAAAAAGAGTCCGAGCCCTTGCGAACCGTTACTAATTTCCACCTTTATGTGGAGAATTAAGATATATGTAGCTGTATTCTACTATATATGCTATCAAGACGTACACGTTCCAGCGCCAAAATCGTCGCTTTTTTCTTCGACTACCAAATCTCGTAAGACTTTGCGTCGCGCATACGAACATCTTTGTTTCGTGTATGTGCTCTCCCCCTCTGTAATGCCTTCGGGCCCTGAGGGTACTTTAATAAATAAATAAATAAATGAATGCTCGAAACTTTCTTTTTTTTTTTCTTGAAAAAACGGGTATAGTTTATTTGAACAAGGAACGCTCTTATATATACGTCAAGACCCTCACCAACAAAAAAGAACTCTTTAAAAAAAAATGGTGTCACCATTCACCCTTTTGTCCCATATAACGCACCCCAACACTTTAGTTTGACGCACAGCGCACAGACGGCCATACATTTTACAAGGGGCTTGATAACGGATATATATAACAGATTAAATAGCTAAAGTACGTATCAAAGACCACAGAAAGAAAGCACTGAGGTTTTGCAGTAGGGCCAAGAAAACCTCGATTATATTTTTTGTAGTCACTAACACGTACATTAGCTATGTTAATAAGTTGTACCTCACGGCTATCAAGCCTCTCGTGAAAGGTACCGTCAGATCGACGTGTGAAGTTTTGGGGTGTCTTATAGGGGACAAAAGGTGTAAGAATACACCCTTTTTTTTAGAGTGTAGGTCACTGAAAGCCGGACACTCGGACAGATTCAAATGATTCATGGTCACACCAACCTGCCACCCAGACGACCCTGCTTGATGACTGACCAGCCACATACGATAACAGGCAACTCCATCAGAACCCTTACTAATGATACGCGCGTGACGAGATTTCCCTAGACTCCCTACAGCGTCAAATTCGCTTGACGAGTGTCGATGAAACGATCGTGTCGACAAAACGTGTGTCCGTGAAACGTGTGCCCATGAAAAGTTGTCTGCGATACGTAATTCCACGAAGCGAGTTTCGACGAAATGAGAGGGTCCCGTACACCACTCCTGCCTGAAAAGTTACATTTGGGTTCTTATGT